AGCTTGGCGCCTTACTTCACTTTCTTCTCACAAATCTGATGTTACAATTTAGACAGGGAATTTTGTAGAAAAAACTAGCAAACTGCCTAACCTCAAATTTTATTTCACATTCTTACTAAATCGACCATGGAGATTCCAAATCCAAGATGGGCCAAAAAAAATTATCACCGGAAGTTACTGTTTTTGATGACGTCATCAAAAAAATGATAAAAAATCTTTAAAAATCGGCCAAGGACTCGAACTCAACTTTTTTTGCATTTCTGCACTAAATTAACTATGCAGATTTCAAATCTGAGATGAAATGAAAAATATCTTGAACGGAAGTCAAATTTTGTGATGACGTCATCAACTTGGAGAAAATTCACTCTGAACCTTTTTAATTGTTTTCTCGCAACTATCATTGTCAAATATGTTCCATATTCGAATTGCACACATTCAGTGCTTTTAAAAGTTGTATTGAATTTCTATTATACTTACTTTTAAACGTTCTTTCATGACGTCATTATCATTTTATGACGTCATCGCCTTTTAAAGGTAATTGAAAGAAAATGCCTAAAAGCGTGAAAGAAAATGCGTGAAAGGATGCCTAAAAATCTTTAGCTAGTTAAAAAAGTCATTCAAAATTAAAATTTCGTTGTATAGAAAATGATATGGATCCATTCATCCTTCATCACTGTCTCCTTTGCTGGAACTCCAGAAGAAAATGTAGTTCCACTCATCATCGTCTGCTTTAAGCTGATCACCTCACCATAATTTTTCCCATGGCCTAGTCCTCATTGGTTACGGAATTTTCTTCGATTTCATCACTAGAGCGCTGCAGATCTTGCAGTTTTTTAGCGGAGGGTGTGCGGGGCCCTGCACAAGATGAACATAATTTGTGTGAAAAAATTTTGGAATTATTTTGCTGACTCCAGTATTTTCTGCAGATATTCACAGCTTTTTTAACGTTGAAGATCGGATATTTTTGTCATCAAGCCGTTAAGAAACGTTTTTCTCTGTATGTCCTCTTCGTGCCATTTCTTATTTTTTTATCAAATGTATGTTCAAAATTAGAATATGTAAAGAAATATTTTTCCTAAAAACCACACTAATACCACCTGTAGGCCAGATCATTCTTTCCATCGTATGTCTAACCAAAGCTTAAAGGCAATTTCTCTTACAATCTTCTTTTGATAATGTAACCAATAGTAAATGCTTGTGTCAACCAGTATGGATCTGGTTGTAGAGCTTCTGATTATCTGTTTTTCATTGCCTTGCGAATTCTTACTCTTATCTGCACAAGTGTTTCATCACATTTCCCTTTGTATGATTATTTTTGCACAAATTTTATCGCTTTCGTGAGAATGTCTTTGCAGATTTCCTGTCTCATCGTAACTCTCTCGAGCCATTTTCCCTTTCCAGAACACTCCTAAAGCTTTTTAAAATGTTAGCTTTCTTTACAACACTATTACCGGTGTTGTTTCGCAGCCAATAACTGCATGAACAGCCGGTAGATTTTTGGAACTATCTAAACCCAGGTAAGATACGACGTTCCAAAATTAACGTACTTCTCGTTGTCAATCTTTAAGGAATATTTCCTTGAAGGCTTTTCACACAATAAGCAGAAAACTACATTAGTGTCCTTTCGACAACTAATAAATTTTATCGATGAGGAAAGAATGGAATATCAAGTGGATGTCAGCCTCTTCATAGCTGCAATTAAGCAAGTATGTCGTGGAATCTTTGATTATCTTTAAGGTTTGTTATTTATTGGTAAACATGAGTGCTTTCAAAATTAACTGCTTTCCTTCTTAGCCCTGGTAGAGCCTTGAACTAGCTTTAGAAAGTAAGTTTGATACAACAAGAACCAGACCAGATCATACAAAATGTTCTTGACAAGTTATCAAGTAGGAACTGAGTTTTGCAATGGGTTATCGCAGAGATAAAGTGTTATACCCGCACCAAACCTATCTTATATTCCATTTCAAGGTTTTTGTTGCTGTTAGTGATGCTTGGCAGTCTTCTGCATTATAAAGATCAAGATAATCCAAAGGCTTTACCAGGGCTAAGAAGGAAAGCAGTTAATTTTGAAAGCACTCGTGTTTACCAATAAATAACAAACCTTAAAGATAATCAAAGATTCCACGACATACTTGCTTAATTGCAGCTATGAAGAGGCTGACATCCACTTGATATTCCATTCTTTCCTCATCGATAAAATTTATTAGTTGTCGAAAGGACACTAATGTAGTTTTCTGCTTATTGTGTGAAAAGCCTTCAAAGAAATATACCTTAAAGATTGACAACGAGAAGTACGTTAATTTTGGAACGTCGTATCTTACCTGGGTTCAGATAGTTCCAAAAATCTACCAGTCATTCTTGCAGTTATTGGCTGCGAAACAACACCGGTAATGTTGTTGTAAGGAAAGCTAACATTTTAAAAAGCTTTAGGAGTGTTCTGGAAAGGGAAAATTGCACGAGAGAGTTACTATGAGACAGGAAATCTGCAAAGACATTCTTGCGAAAGCGATCAAATTTGTGCAAAAGTAATCATACAAAGGGCAATATGACGAAACACTTCTGCAGAAACGAGTAAGAATTCGCAAGGCAATGAAAAACAGGTAATTAGAAGCTCTACAACCAGATCCATACTGGTCGACACAAGCATTAACTATTGGTTACATTACCAAAGGTAAGAGAAGTTGTCTTTAAGCTTTGGTTAGACATACGATGGAAATAATGATCTGGCCTACAGGTGGTATTAGTGTGGTTTATAGGAAAACAATTTCTTTACATATTCTAATTTTGAACATACATTTGATAAATAAATAAGAAATGGCACGAAGAGGATATACAGAGAAAAACGTTTCTTAACGGCTTGAAGACAAAAATATCCGATCGTCAACGTTAAGAAAGCTGTGAATATCTGCAGAAAATACTGGAGTCAGCAAAATAATTCCAAAATTTTTTTCACACAAATTATGTTCATCTTGTGCAGGGCCCCGCACACCCTCCGCTAAAAACTGCAAGATTTGCAGCGCTCTAGTGATGAAATCGAAGAAAATTACGTAACCAATGAGGACCAGGCCATGGGAAAAATTATGGTGAGGAGATCAGCTTAAAGCAGACTATGATGAGTGGAACTACATTTTCTTCTGGAGTTCCAGCAAAGAGACAGTGATGAAGGATGAATGGATCCATATAATTTTCTATACAACGAAATTTCAATTTTGAATGACTTTTTTAACTAGCTAAAGATTTTTAGGCTTCCTTTCACGCGTTATTCAATTACCTTTAAAAGGCGATGACGTCATAAAATGATGATGACGTCATGAAAGAACGTTTAAAAGTAAGTATAATAGAAATTCAATACATCTTTTAAAAGCACTGAATGTGTGCAATTCAAATATGGAGCATATTTGACAATGATAGCTGCGAGAAAACAATTAAAAAGGTTCAAAGTAATTTTCTCCAAGTTGATGACGTCATCACAAAATTTGACTTCCGTTCAAGATATATTTCATTTCATCTCAGATTTGAAATCTGCATAGTTAATTTAGTGCAAAAATGCAAAAAAAGTTGAGTTCGAGTCCTTGGCCGATTTTTAAAGATTTTTTATCATTTTTTTGATGACGTCATCAAAAACAGTAACTTCCGGTGATAATTTTTTTTGGCCCATCTTGCATTTGGAATCTTCATGGTCGATTTAGTAAGCATGAAAAATAAAATTTGAGGTTAGGCAGTTTGCTAGTTTTTTCTACAAAATTCCCTGTCTAATTGATGAAAGCTTAAAAGGAATGAAACGTTTTAAAGGGCTTATCGGGAAATTTCCCGAGTCCCGGTGAGCCACCACGCCCCTGTCACTAGCTGATTCAAAAAGAAACAAATAGCTTCAGCCCCGTTAACACTACACAAACTAACCTGTGCTCGCCTCAGGCATAATCAGCCCATCTCGAAAGATAAAGTGTAGTGTAAACGCGAACCTGGGGCGAACCTTGCCTTGCGTTGACCGCCGCCATTTTGTTTATCATCACCTTCAATTTTTGTGTTACGCATGCGTTGTCATCAAACTAACCCAGGTTCGCCTTGATACCGTTTAAACTACAAAGTCGACAGTTACAAGTGTAAACGCATCATGGCTCAGCCGGGGCTACTTTTAACCTAGGATGAACCCAGGTTAGTGTGAACAGGACTTTGCTTGGTAGTACGATTAGAAAGAACACTTTGATAGCACTCTTGCATCTGTACAAACAAATTCGGGGTTCTTCGTGGCTCGTTCTTGGGAACCTTGCTTTTTTATCTACACCTCTTACTCTCGTTCTCACGATAATATCAAAGTTAATTTTTGTACAATTTATTTGTTGAAGCTTTTTTCAAATCATTTCAATTTCTGAGCAGAGATATTTTGGTCACTAACAAAAAGTAAGGATGTGGTTTCTTCTATAAAATCCTAACAACTAGAGCCGGCGGCATCTTCCACGAAACGTTCCATCCAGCGCACGTAGCGCACGACCAGTGCATTGCATTCTGTTAGGTTGTTTGTGATATCCTCTGGGCAGGTTTCAATCAAAGCATCAAACATTTCTTTGTGAAATCTCATACACCTGAAGTATTGCTTACCATTGAAAGCTTGGTCAGCAGATCCTGCAGCAATTGCACCTGCATCTATGCACTATTCTTTGTAGCCTCTGCAATAGAATCTCTTAAACAATAGCCTTTGGCGTACATGCAAATTAAACCCGCCCATCGAAAGAATAATGCGTTTGTAAAGATCTGTATTTTTCCATAAGATATCACAAAGTTTTGCATATACCATTTCATCTGATTGAAGGTATAGGTAAGGTATCTCCATTCATACGATTACTTTTAGCAAAAACTCGAGATATTTCTTACAAACAGGATACTCTGGTGGAAGATACTCTTGCACTCATTTCTCTGTTTCTTCTTTCGTCACACATTAGTGAAATGATGTCCACGAACCAACTACTGCAGTTTCTTCTTCCTCGTCGCTATTTCGTATCATTCCAGCGGTAGACCAAACAATATCTCATTTGAGGCATTCATCAAGTTTGTCTCTAAGAGTGCTATCCTGATGGTCAGGAAAAAGCGATGTCCAACTCGTTTGGCAAGATCACAAGGCAGCGCTTTGAGTGGTTGCTCTTGCTAAGATTCTGCCAAGTTTAATGGTTGTTCTTTTCTTATTCCAATGACGAGTATTGTCTGTTCTTCTAATGGTGATGGTAGCTGAAACAGGGTCTTTTTGGGGTCATGTATCGTTTGCGCCATCATTATTGTCTATGATAGCGGGTGCACGGCGCCTCTTCTCGCATTTGAAAGAATAGATTGCTTTTTCGTCAGCATTCTTGACCAAGAAATATTTTGCATGCGAACGTCATGGAGTTCTAAAGTGTGACGTCATCAAAAACCTATTTTTAGAGTTTTTGAATTTTAACCACATAGCGTAAAAGATCACCATGAAATACTTTCAAATACTTTCAAACATTCCAATTCAAGAACAAGTATTTCAACTGTCTCTTAGTGGTTCCATAAGGGACTCAGAGAACTACAACTGCTTTCAAACATTCCGATTCCAGAACAAGTGTTTCAACCATCTCTTCGTGGTTCCATAAGGGACTCAGAGAACTACAACCGCCTTCAATCATTCGAACAAGTTTTTCAACCATCTCTTCGTGGTTCCATAAGGGACTCAGAGAACTACAACCACCTTCAATCATTCGAACAAGTGTTTTAACCATCTCCTAGTGGTTCCAAAAAGGACTCCAAGACCTACAACCGCTTTCAAACATTCAGATCCCAGAACAAGTTTTTCAACCATCTCTTCGTGGTTCCATAAGGGACTCAGAGAACTACAACCACCTTCAATCATTCGAACAAGTGTTTTAACCATCTCCTAGTGGTTCCAAAAAGGACTCCGAGACCTACAACCGCTTTCAAACATTCAGATCCCAGAACAAGTTTTTCAACCATCTCTTCGTGGTTCCATAAGGGACTCAGAGAACTACAACCACCTTCAATCATTCGAACAAGTGTTTTAACCATCTCTTAGTGGTTCCAAAAAGGACTCCGAGATCTACAACCGCTTTCAAACATTCAGATCTCAGAATAAGTGTTTAAAACCATCTTTTAGAGGTTCCATAAGGAGATCAGAGACCCAATTTCCAGAACAAGTGTTTCAACCATCTCTTCGTGGTGCCATAAGGGACTCAGAGACCTACAACCACCTTCAATCATTCGAACAGGTGTTTTAACCATCTCCTGGTGGTTCCAAAAAGGACTCCGAGATCTACAACCGCTTTCAAACATTCAGATCCCAGAACAAGTGTTTAAAACCATCTCTTAGATGTTCCATAAGGAACTCAGAGACCCAATTTCCAGAACAAGTGTTTCAATCATCTTTTAGTGGTTCCATAAGGGACTGAGAGACCTACAACTTTTGAAGAAAATATTGAAATTTTAATAGAAACTTTTAAAAAAACTGGGGGATTTACCTATCCGTTACAAAATGATTTGGCCAAAACAACAAAGTTGGCCGAATTTTGGCCGCATATTGAAAGCCCTAAAAGTACAAAGAAAACGACAACTTAAGCACAGACAATATTCAACATTTCATTAAAATAATCTCAAAATTGCAAATAACGAAGCAAGAAACAAAGTAAAAGATAACAGAAAATTGAAAGCGAGTTGGAGCTTTTGAAATAAGCAAACCCAATTTTGATTACACTATCACTCCACAGAATTAGCCAAGAATCTTTGGCCGCCAACCATTCCAAGCATCTGGCAACCCTGTTTCAGCGGTATGTTTGGTGGGGTCAGCAAGAGATTCCTCAAAAACAATGATATGACCGCCAAGTTGATTGTGGTGGGAATAATGCTGAAAGTTCATAATGCTTGCGGTTTGTACCATTTTACCGGTTCCCATTGTTTCCCATTGTTGCGACCGACCTTAAAAGGAACTTTTCAGTCAAGGATTGGTGCAATCGCAGGCCCACTTTCTGGGTAGGATTTTTAAAAGGAGAATAACGGCTGCATACAGTATCGGCTTAGGTTGATTTTGGACTAGTTTTAGCAATCGAGGTACCCGCATTTTCATGTGGACATTGCGTCAATAAAGTTGTATGCAGTTAGGAAAGAAAAAGCATCATGCTTCTTTTGACGAAGAGAATAGATCGCCGCGATGGTGTTCTTTCATGGCTGACTTTGCTTGCGTCAGTTTTCATTACTGCATGTTCTTGTGGCTTCCTCAATATTTTCGGCATCTGCTACAATTATTTTCTGGAGAGGTTTGGTAATTCAAAGGAAAAGACAGGTAACAGGAAAACTACTCTCACATAATTCAAGCAAGTCGCACAAAAAGAAAAAAGACTCGCAGAAAAATGAATCTCTTCACACATTTTTAGTTTCAGTCGCATAAGATACTGCAAATCGCACATAAAGCAGAATGAGTCCCACAATTAGAAAAGAGGTCGCACTTAAAGAAGAATGGGTCACACGTTGGAGAAGGGTAGGTTTTTTATTGAATTGAATGAATTTCTGTTCAGCCTCGGCCATGATGTTTTGCCCAAACTGCGGGAATTTCAGAGACAAGACCCACTTTCTCATCATTGGAATAGAATAATATGCGTGTATTTTTGGACTATTAGGACTATTGTTCAATTCGATCACAGAAACATGCAGACAGGCTAGAAGTCCAAACTTAGCTAGTTACCCGAACTGCAGTGTACGGCAGTTTCCTACGAGATCTCGGGTAGGCAAGAGCAAAAATTAAAGTGTACAAATGTACACTATGTCACAAGTTTATACTTCTACTTCTAGTAAGTGTACACACAAATATTAAGTTTTACATACAAATAACGTCGTGAGAAACTGATTCGGTTTTAGAGGGAATTATTGTTTTCATTTCATGAAACTGATAAGATCTATTTTCAAGAATTCAAATCAGTGCCTCCTTAGGTAAAAGAGTGCCTTTTGTCCAATTTCCCCAAAGGTTTTACGGAAAAGCAGCAACTGCAATAACAGTTTTCATAAGGAAACACAAAAAGTTATCTATTACAAACGAGCTTCTTTATTTGCGACTCGCTTTAATTTTGTGTGAACAAAAATTTTTCTGTGCGACTCGCGCTTTATTTTTGTGCGAATGGGATTTCTTTCTGTGCGACTCGCTTGAATTATGTGTGAGTAGTTTTCCTGTCAGCGTGAATCAGTTTGTTTCAATGCGAAGCTGTTTTGTTTGTATGCGTTTGAATCAGTTTAAATCTGTCACGACGTTGATTGGTTATAAGAACAAGGGTATTTTTATTGTTTCCAGTCCCCAATTTATCGCATTGTAAAAAATATGGCGGAGCGCTGGAATCGTGTTTAGGCTATTGTTCCAGCTGTTGTTCTCGTTAACCAATCCACAACGAGACAGATTGCCTTTAAGTGCGTGGAAGTTATGGGCCACCGTACATTAGCTCTCTAGAAGATATTCAGCTTGAGACTTTACTCTCTATACCGTAGGCCATGTCTTGACACAGCGCTCGTAATAACAAAAGGTGCGCAATGTATTTTTATTGTATGATTAAATTCTTGTGTTTGCTCGACTTAAATATTTGAATTTAATGGCTTTGACTGCTCCGAGTTGATGTGTCAATACTCGAAGCAAAACATGTTAGCTAGAAACAAGATGACTAGGATTTCTCTTCATCAAAGTTAGATTTTTGTAACTATTTCAAATTTTTCGTGTTTTCTCGAAAATTTTATTTCACTTTGCATACATAGCGAAACCTGCTGATACATTTGGGCTTCAAAAAAACTTCCAGCGGTCTGAAATACCGTAGTCCAACGTGAAAATATCTATAAATCAATGGTATAGAGTTCTAAAGTGTGACGTCATCAAAAACCTATTTTTAGAATTTTTGAATTTTAACCACATAGCGTAAAAGATCACCATGAAATACTTTCAAATACGCAAAATTGGCCAGATATGTCTAAAATCGGTTGAGATATGGCTAATGAAAGATTTAAAGTTTGCTAACGAATCACTGTTATTTTGGCTCTGTTCATAAAGTTAACTCTATTCTGAAACATACTTGTAATTGTGTTATGTTGAATATTCTTGTTTTACACGAATAAAGAAAAAAGCTTTCTACGGTCGATATTTTGAAATTCCATGCCTCATACACAGCATTCTTTTCTTAAAGTGTGGTCTTGGGAAATTTCCATAAAACAGGCCCTGCTTTACGACGGGGAATAACAACAAGTAATTGAACAGTTTGGCTAGGCCCTAAATAAGTAGTTGATGTTATCGCTATTATCAATGCTGAAAGACTAACCAAAGATAATGAAACTGTAACCGACTTGTAGTTAGAAAACTCCTCTAGAACAAAGGATCATGTAGACTTGAAGGTCATGGTAATTTGCGGTTGCGGGAGTAGGTGATTTCTGGGGTCTTAATTATTTTCAGCTTTATTAGGAATCTCATTTTTTGCAATACTGCCATTCGCCTATGGTTGCGGGTTGTGCTTTCGTGAATTGTAGTACGTAAGAGAGTAGTGCAAATGTTTACCGCAACGTTAATCGAACGTTCAGTTTTTTTGTTTTTCCTGTTAAGCTCCAAACTGCTGTGCCATTTCTGGCATTGGCTTAGATGACTTTTTGATAAAATCAAATAAACATAACTTGATTCGCGCATAAGCGCTGGGGCCGTTTTCTCCAAAAAGTTTTTCAAACGCTTGTGTTGTCAGGACCTTGTTTCCCAAGCAGGAAAAGACTATCTTGGGATGGACATAACAATAGTGGGATTAATGTCAAAAGAAAATATTAGGTATTTATACGCTCGAAATTCTGTGGCTCTCGTTTCCAGGGTAAAATTGATCGTAAGTTAAGAACAGGTGAAGAACTGAGGCTGAGATCATGTAAAATATAGTTTTGAACAATGTTTTGGAACCTCTTCAGAACAAGTGTTTTAACCATCTCCTAGTGGTTCCAAAAAGGAATCAGAGACTTACAACCGCTTTCAAACATTCAGATCTCAGAACAAGTGTTTCAACCATCTCTTAGTGGTTCCAAAAAGGACTCAGAGCCTTACAACCACGTTCAAACATTTCAATCCCAAAATACGTGTTTCAACTATCTCTTAGCGGTTCCATTAGGGACTCAGAGACCTACAGCCACTTTAATCTACGCTACAAACATTCAGATCCCAGAACAAGTGTTTTAACCATCTCCTAGTGGTTCCAAAAAGTACTCAGAGCCTTACAACCACGTTCAAACATTCCAATCCCAAAATAAGTGTTTCAACTATCTCTTAGTGGTTCCATAAGGGACTCAGAGACCTACAACCACTTTCAAACATTCAGATCCCAGAACAAGTGTTTTAACCATCTCCTAGCTGTTCCAAAAAGTACTCAGAGACCTACAACCGCTTTCAAACATTCCAATCCCAAAATAAGTGTTTCAACTATCTCTTAGTGGTACCATAAGGGACTCAGAGACCTACAACCACTTTCAAACATTCAGATCCCAGAACAAGTGTTTTAACCATCTCCTAGCTGTTCCAAAAAGGACTCAGAGACCTACAACCACTTTCAAACATTCAGATCCCAGTACAAGTGTTTCAACTATCTCTTAGTGGTACCATAAGGGACTCAGAGACCTACAACCACTTTCAAACATTCAGATCCCAGTACAAGTGTTTTAACCATCTCCTAGCTGTTCCAAAAAGGACTCAGAGACCTACAACCGCTTTCAAACATTCCAATCCCAAAATAAGTGTTTCAACTATCTCTTAGTGGTACCATAAGGTTCTCAGAGACCTACAACCACTTTCAAACATTCAGATCCCAGAACAATTGTTTCAACCATCTCTTAGTGGTTCCAAAAAAGGACTCAAAGACTTACAACCGCTTTCAAACATTCCATCCCAGAACAAGCGTTTAAAACCATCTCTTAGTGGTTCCAAAAAATAGAGACGATCAGGTTCTTTAACAACAGACAGTGCTCTTTTCCAGGCGAGTAAATTAATGGAGAGGTGGGAGAGGCACACTCATGCCGGATAAAGGTAAGGAGGTAAAAGATAATGAGAGCAGAAAAATATTATCCACGCTAACAGCCAGGCATTGTCTTATTCAAAAGGAACCGTGATAAATAATACGCCAGCCTGGTTCAAACGAGATTGTGATGAATAAGACGCCAGTTTTAGATAACAATTTTGCGAACATAAACAATCACTCCACTGACAACCAGGAATAGCCTGGATCAAGTGGGTACTTGATAATATCATGCCAGCGTTTGAGCAAAAATTGATATTCTTTCCACTGTTGCCAAGAATTCCCAGGAATTGTGGAAGCAGGAATACCTGGTCCAAACAGGTTCGTAGTAAACAGTAAAAATATGTAAGTTATACTATTTCGTAAAAACTTTAGATAAACTTAAACTGATCTATTTCAGCATGGACTGGCTCACTCCCGACTTCATTGATGTTTGTGTTGGGACCTGTTTCATGCTGGATCATCAATAAAGCTGGACTAAGACTTTGCACAATGATTGCAGCATTCCTTGTCAGCCTGTCTCTTCTGATGACGTCATTCGCTACAAACTTGGACCTAGTCTTCATCTCGTTCAGCGTCCCTTTCGGGCTTGGTTCATCTGTTCTCCTAATGGCATCGGTAAAATCTGTATGCATTTATTTTGATAAATGGTTATCTTTGGCATATGGTTAGTGTTTTCTAACATTTCTTTATTTAGAAGAAGCCCAAGGACAAGATTAAAATCGCTTCATCTTCGATTGGATAAATACGTTTCAATAACAAGTTATAACTTGAAGAAATCTAACGAAAGGGGGGCGGGAGTCTTTAGAACAACTAAGGTGAAAGAGTGTTCAGTTTCTTCCTTTTACACAAAGACATTCATAAGAAAAACAGTCTCATTCACCTCTTCAGGTCTCCAAACTGGCTGTGTTGCACTTCTCCAAGCGGGTTTTTCAAGCCTTCTCGTTTTGCTACTTAAAGAAGTTAGATTTGAACGAACATTCCAAATACTATCAGCTGTATTTCTTGTTATCTGTCTGGCTGGTGGCTTGACATTTTGCCCAACTTCATATGCAGTAGATAAAGATGGCCTGAAAAGAAAACAACGAATTTCCAAATATATATTAAGTTGCTGAAGAACAAGAAGATCTGCATCTTTCTTGTGGCTAACTTCATATTGTCATTCGCGTATGGTGTGTCTAGCATTCACCAGGTAAGACAATGCGTCACTGCTTTCAAATTTCTGATTGAAATGAAACATGAAAATGATGAAATGCGCAGGAATGAGTTGATTCTAGAACTAAAAATTTCTTGACACAGAAATGCAATAAAAAGGAACACCTGATCTGTCAAATGGAGCTATTCTTGTTATCATCTATTTCAACTCAAAATGATCCTGAAATAAAATTTCGCCTTTCCATTGTAAGGCAAAATTTGAGAAATTATAGTGTTTGAACTACAGACCTACACAAATTTTGACAGGATGCGAACAAAGAACAAGATAAGAACAAAAATCATAAAAAACTTTGAAACAACAATTTTTTGTGTGATTTACGATAACTCTTCTTTTACTGTGCAAGAAACTTTGCTCCAATTCCTGTTAAAATGTCGCTATGATTGGGCACGATATCTAAAACTAATGTTTACTACGAGTTTTAGCACAACCAACTTTATATTTTCCCAAAACATCATAAGTGCTTGTACTTTGAACCTTAATGAATTGTGATTATTCCTGAGGCGCTGAAACTGAGGCGCTGAAACTGAGGCCCTAAAACTGAGGCCCTGAAACTGAGGCCCTAAAACTGAGGCCCTGAAACTGAGGCGCTGAAACTGAGGCCCTGAAACTGAGGCACTGAAACTGAGGCACTGAAACTGAGGCGCTGAAACTGAGGCCCTGAAACTAAGGCCCTGAAACTAAGGCCCTGAAACTGAGGCCCTGAAACTGAGGCCCTGAAACTGAGGCCCTGAAACTTAGGCCCTGACACTGAGGCCCTGAAACTGAGGCCCTGAATCTGAGGCCCTGAAACTACATTTTTGATATATGAGGTTCCCTTGGGAGTTTTTTTGGCAACAGTATAGGATCATAAACTTCTAATGAACTCTCTTAACGAGACAGCACATTCACATTTTAGCATTTTGTCAATAGTTTTTTCCTTTGTGTTCTGAAAGCGAAAATGTGTTCTACTTCCTCGTTTTTCCTTTGAAAAATATGCACATTCGTTACATGAAATGAAACCCTCTTCATGTTCTGCTTTATCAGCACTCAATCTATACTCTGTTTTCTTGCTCGTTTTAGGTACAACTTGCTGTAGAGAAAGGTGTCCAAGTGAGCACAGCCAAGCTGTTTCCCGTTTTTAGTTCTATTTCTTGTGGCTTAGGCCGCTTCTGCTGTGGGCTTTTACTTGACCTGAAAGTTCAGAAGAAAATCGCATTTTACCAGCTTGTGATGTTTTTAACTGGTTCAACCTGCTTTCTGGGACTATTTGCGACCACTGAAGGACACCTAATCGCATATATCTGGATATACTCCGCTCTTGATGGCATGGTACAAACATGCTGCACACCTTGCCTGCGGACTATAACGGGTTTAAAGTTTCTAGGAGAAGCGTATTCCATTTTCTAGGAGGTACTGACTGTAGACGCCGTGTCTCTCTTGCTAGGGCCACCTCTTGTGGGTATGTACATTTCTCGTTAGCAAGCAAGATTTAAGACACTTATAAAGTATTTTAATTGCCGACCGACCAAAACAAGATTTGGGAAAGCCTTTGGTGCGACAGGATTATTTTTTGTTAAAGTCAACGGGTAGCCATGTTCCAATCAGCATCGTTATCTTGTTTTTTCATAATGTACTTTTTAGACTGACTATACAAATGTGAACACCTTAAGCCAATGATCTCAGATTCTGAAGGTCTTCTTCTCGCTACGTATAAACGCACGGGAGAGAGGGGGAGGGGTGGAGAGCATACTATGCGTACATATAAACAGTCCCTAATAATCATATTAGCACACTCTTGCTGCTCCAATGTCGTGGCGGTGTAGGGTAACCACCACTGCTTCTCGCTGTACTTAGGCTGCCTTTACACGGGGCTTGATGAATATTTGATCGACCAAAGATTTGGCCTGCTTCTGACGTCGGCTACAAATGATTTCACTCAGGCGTTGCGGGGCCGCCCAAGTGGTTGAATTCTTATGACATGCGCATTATGTCAAAAATTGTCGCAAAAGATCATTGTAAATGTGACATACATGCATCAATGTTCGAAGTCCTTTGGGAGAAATCCACGAAAAACAAGACCAGTTTGATCTCGGCTTCATAACTGTATCACTAATTCGGTTACAACGAAATATAAATGTTTCTTATCGGTCTAAGAAAACCTTAACTTATCTCTTGTTTTCTCCCCACTCCTTTTTACAATAATTCACTCCTCTCCCTCTTGCATATCTCTGGGTCTTGCATATCCTCTACCTCTTGCATAGCCCCTTTATTGTCCTGTCTTTTTATTAAATTTTACCGGGGGTAAACCCTCGGTGTACCCCGGGTGTACCTCGAGCCCTCACATAAACAAAGAGCTAACAAAACAAACTCTGTTCTTGTGTGCTCTCTCATTCTCTGTTCTCGTGTGCTCTGTCATTCTCTGTTCTCGTGTGCTGTCTCATTCTCTGCTCTCTCGTGCTCTCTAATAATCTGTTCTCGTGTACTTTCTTCGCAAAATGCTGTTTAAAGAGGATGGCTGGCAAAAATGCTACCAATGACTGCAACGACGTTTGCTATGCTTTTTAGAATTGTCATGAATGCTAAAATGAATCTTTTGACGAAAGGTCATGCACATTTTTAGCAAAGTAAACAACAAAGAAAAAGTTACGAACATAAAATCTAACCAGTGACTCTAAACAACAACAATACATCCATTTTCGGCCCCAGGCTTTGATTAACCATTTTACGTTTGCCTCTTTACTACGCATCGACACTCCTATTTTGTTACTGTGCAAATATTTGGCAGATGTTGTTTAGACCGTTGTTTAAACAGAGTTAATCACCCGTCCGAAACTGCACCTAAGCCTCGCAATAATGTGGCGGCTAAAGAAGACTGGGCCCTGGCATCCGGGACTTTGCTGGTAGGCGTTCTAACTCGTGCTCTCTGGTTAGGCTCCCTCTTGGCTCTAGCTTGCCAAAAAACGGTTGTTTGGCTTCTAGGAGCGAATAATTTTAAAGTTTCCCTCCCACCCACCAACTGATTCTCACTTCCTTTTCTTCCTTCAATCTGGTTGTCATTCTTTTCCCGAAGACCTTTTCGTCATTTGGGCTGGTGCATCAGGCGGGAAAATGTTTCCCAGTGGTGACACCGACCTTTAAAATTGGTATTCTCCAGGCAGTATAAGGGCTAGTGCACCTAGCAAGCCCACTTCCTGGAATTTAAGTTAGGATTCAAAGTTTTAGATCAAATTGTAGGCTATTTCTGGCTTAGTGCATCCCTTGTCCCGTTGACCCCCCTTCTACCCTTGTTTAATAGCATGTTGTTCCATAAGTGTCTTTTAGAATCGGTTTAATTGAGTATTCTTGAGGAGGGTAGGATTAATAACGCTCGCCAGCTGAGATTAAAGAAGGATGTTCTCTTAGGTTCCCGAAAATTTGCACGCCTAAGTGACCTAATGTGAGGTCGTTTAGCCGGTCCCGTGTAAGCGCAAGACCTAAGTGACCAAATATTTGACGGATCAAATGTTCGGCCGGTATACGCAGCATTAGCCTTATAAGTACGTCGCGGGAGATGAGCGCAGGAACTATATGACTCTTTCTACTTGGACACTAATAAGAAATTTTCCCAACAAATTGAGAAACATGTATACCTTTTTTCATATATTACAAAATTCAAACCTAAATTGATACCAAATTAGAAGGAAGGCATCAGAGTTCCAATAAATTATTTCCAATCAGCTGTTCAAAAGTCGAGGCACGATTGGATAACGGACATGACCTTTAGCAAATTATATTTGAAAGAATTGTATTTCCATCAATCAAATCTAAGATCGTTAAAATTGATAGCCTAAAACATACCATATCCTGAACGTAGTTTTGAATACATCTTGTATATTGTTTTTAGGGTTAGTGGTCGAGAAGACAAGAAGTTACAATGCATTCTTTTACATGTCTGGGACACCATACATAGCTGCTTTTATAGAGCTCTTCCTCCTTCGATGTGTTGTACCACTGTCACAAGTTGAGACGAGCAGCGACAAGAGAGAGAATGAAAACGAAGAACAGTTATCATAAGGGCTTGATCAAATCAGAAGTCAATTCTTCGTTAGATATTAATGGATAGATAAGTGCATACCTAATTTTACGGTGTAGTGATAACAAATTCATGCAGTGATAAACAGAGAAAGCATGTAGTGACAACGCTTTGGAGAAATTTTATTTACAATGGGAAAATTTTATGTACTTTTCACAAACTTCAAAACTTTTGGACTAAGAAAAAGAAAATTGAAAGCCTGGACATACCCAGAGCCATTCAATCTACTTGCTAATTATAAACTTAATTTCGAGCGCGTAGCGATACCCCAACTTTCAGTTGGATTCTTCCAAACAAGAGTTTATATGATTAATCTAATGTTTATTTATTAAGTTAAAGAAGTTGCAAATATGTTGATGTTTTGAATGACTTGTGAAAAGTGTTATCACGGATGCGATGTGAATAAAACCTACTTATGAGTACTTAATTTAGTAACTTTGTGGCAAAATAGCGTTGTTTGTATTTAAAGCTATTAAGGGCGTGGTCAGAAGACAATTTTTAGGGGCCACTACTGTTACCTTAAAATTTATTTTGTTTTATTGCGACCATAAAAGAATGAGATGAGCCAGTAAGGAGTCATTCACAAAGGACGTCTTGGAAAAAGATGAATTTTTAACTCCCTACCCTCTTTTGTCCGGCATTGTCCGTATTGAGAGCCCCCTCCCCCTTCCTCGGACATCCACCGATATCATACTGAAAGCTATTCAAACATGTATATGTAAATGGAATGTAAAAAGCCGTTCTTTGTTCCAATCAGAAACTGACTTGATGAACAATTTTTGATTTTCTAGTACGTTTTTTATATGATGTTATATTGAAAAAAGCATTAGATATAAGCAGCAAAAGTCGTGTTTCACTCTTCGTTTAAGTAGTCAGTTTCTGTGAATGGCTGCTTCAAAAAGGTGGCACTATCCATAAGAGGAGGTAACTGCTACTTCATCTTCCTCGTTTGCTGCTTCACTCTGTGACGCTCTTCATTCTTCAGTGCCAACCTTTTGTTGCCAGTTATCTCGGGGTGCAATTTTGCCAGCTCTACAGAGGTGAAATTTACCGGCATTTCACAAAACCGCACTTGTATCTGCTGCCACCTTTCTCTGAATGCTTTTTTGCACAGATGGACAGAACAAATCATACAGCAAGTCCACTTGCTCGTAGCCTTCTGGTTTCAGATGTGATATTGCCATTTGTTTGCAGAAGACCCGTGTTAATTTTTTTCCTTTGACAGGTTGTTCCCCTATACTAGCCAACTGCAGCCCACCTTGAAACCTGGACGTCCGGATTGCGTAAACACCCTCTCCCCCTGTGTCCGAATTTATCCGGATTCACCAAACCCCTCTTCTCCCCCTTCAGCTTGGACGTCCTTTGTGAATGGCCCCTAATTACTCTTGATTTAAAATCCATTTTAAAATTTTATT